GTGAAAAGGTTGGAGTTGCTCCAGTAGAAGATAAGATTAGAGAGAGTCGCTTTAGATGAGTTGGTCACATAAAACGGTAGCCTTCCAATGACCCGTTTAGGAGAGTAGATGTATTAGATTTGACTTATGTTAAGAAAGGTAGAGGCAGACCTAAAAAGACCTGGTTAAAAAATATTAGGAATGACCTTTCTTTATTAGATTTAAACGAGAATTTGACCTTTAATAGGACACAATGGAGAAAAAGGATTTTTGTAGCCGACCCCACGTAGTGGGATAAAGGCTTGATGTTGTTGTTGTTTGTCTTTCAAACCCTTATATATAATCACACAAGCACCATTTCAAGTACGAATCCTACCGGAATACCAAAGTTTAAACCCTAAAGTATCAATCACCATAGCCTTCTCTCCCACCCATTTAGTTTCTTGAATGCATAGAATATTTATCTTCCTATGAATCAAAATATCAATTAATTTCATTAATTTGTCTGTATGGGAATCTACATTCCAAGATCCTAACATAATTTTATAACCTAGCCCATTATAAAAATTGAAAATTCAAGGCAATAATAACAATGTTGAAATTGAGCATACCCACAACAAAAACTAACCAGAGTTCATGCCAATCATTTACGCGAACTAAATATTAAGAAACATAAGCATGTCCCTCATGCCCGTCCTCACAAGCATATCCCTAACTACCACAACTATAAAAAAATTAAAATTAAATAAAGTTAGCTCAAATCATTATTTGATGCAACATTTCTGATGAGAAAAAACAATGTAGATTCCCATCAATATATTATTTCAATTTCTTAGCTGAAGATGCTGATTATATCACAGTTTTAGACTTACAGATTTCAAGGTATAAGTAGGGTGTTTTAGTTCAACAGTATAGGTAGTCAATGTACATGCAGCCCCAGGTTCTATCAATATATGAAATTTAAAACAGCTTTAAATCCTTGTTGATATTCTCTGAAACATAACTGACATGTAAACAATAACTGATAGCATCCTCAAACCATCAATTAAAAGATAAGAGGAAAACAAATAGCATACCGCTGTCATTCCTGATAACCATTTAGTGACAACTGCAAGATCTTGCCTCCATTCATATTCACATTGCCAAGAACTGACATCTCGAACAAGATGAACTGGACCCTAACATAGGTCGATAAAATATTAAGAGCCAACAAACAGAGCAAAAGAAAGTTGCATCATAACTTGAAAGAGTTGCCAACATCTTTTACAAGAAATTAACAAAACAGAAGAAAAAAAGGAAGCATCCTTTTGTGACATCAACCAATAACAATCGGTTTACACACACAAAGACTATTTCACCTATGCAATTTGCCCGAAATACTAATCAATGACCCACAACATGCACAAGAGAAGTAGAAGAAAAAACTGCAGAAAGAATAACAAATAGAAGAAAAGGCGGCAGTTGCATTTATGAGATGGACATAATTTTTTCACAAATATATTCAACCCAGGCCTGCCCAGCTAGGAAATTAAATAGGTTTATTGATGGTCTGTGAGGATCACACTTGAAGAAAGATATAGATGTCCAAATGGTTACCTGTGAAGGTTGAGTCCATATGGTGATTCTGCCATGAAAATTAGCAATCAACAGTGCACGGGAGCAAGACTTCGGCGACCATTCAATAAACTGAACAAAATCTCGTGGGGAATCTGTTCAAATACAATTAGAATAGAACAAACTTCAAAAGACCATGACAATTGAGAACTCCAAAAAACAATGAATGTAAAATTTGAAAGCACCAAGTCAACTCAAAATAAAAAAAAATAAAAAACCAATATATGGTTGACCTTCATATGAAATAAAGATGCTTAGGTAAAATTGATGTAGTGTACAATCAGGATAGAATATTTGGTATTTAGTGTTAGATTACAAATTCAGGTCAGGAGTGTGGAGTAGAGATATATTAATTTGATGCGTCTTGGAAGTAAAAATAGCAAAGTAGACAAGTAGAAACTGCAGGGACACAAAAATAGGAGCTAGTTTTTTATTATCTCTTTAACAAGAAAAAAAAAGATACAAGTAATCTACTATTCGAGAGGTAAATCAACTCTTCCACAAATCCTAGCAGCCACTAAGAACACTAAACAAACCCTAGAATAATTTCAGCAAACAAAATATACTAACTATAGACCAAACTCCTTAAATAGCCCTAATCATACAATAATGCAAATTAAACCCTTCTTAAACAAGTTAAAACCTTCATAAACATCTATCCCTTGATTCCTCCTCCTCATATAATGAATTACAGCTTTGTGGGGAACTTGGGATTCATAAGGGGGGTTGAAAATTCCCTGGTTCCTGCTCCAAGTTCCACCTAGCCCTATGGCTGGTTCAACTTCTGCTAAACCAGCCGATTGGGTTGGTCCAAGTCGCACCCCTCTCCTGTTGCTCTTGTCGTATCAATATCCCCCCCCCCCTGACGCACCTTAACCTCAAGCTTGAAAGATGGGAATTATCTCCTGATCATCGGGTATGGCTCCCATGTGGCGTACTCTAGAAAACCCTTCCACTTGATTAGTACCTCATGTGCTCATGTTTCCCTTGTCAATATGGTTGTGTTGGATAATCAATACCATGGATAATGACATTGGATCAATTTTTATGTTCTATAAAATAGTAAAAGAAATGTTACACTGCCAAGGAAATCGATTGATGTAGCACATCACGTGGATGAAGATAATCAAGCCAAAAACACAACTATAAGAGCCTAAGATCAAAACTCAAATACAATATCAAATTACAAGAGCTTAATCAAGAGCCCAATTAAGAGCTCATAATTTCAAATATATTAAATATAATCTATATTTTATTTTTTATCTAAAAACATGACATGCTAGAATATAGTTTTCGCTCAGGAAAAGATGGCGCTACGGCACGAAACCGGATTTAGCAAGCTTTAGGCCCCATTTTCTCCGAGGTAGATTAGATTCTAAATTAATCAGATTTCCCCCTATGAGCATCAAGGTTTATTTAGTTCTGGGGTTTCACTTCCTATGAGCGCAATCCCTTATAGTTAATCATCCCACCTAACGCGTAGAAGATAACTCTTAATTAAGGATGAATCAATGTTTAGACGTGCAACAGTTTTAATTTTGGTTGAGGGGGGATGAACATAGAGTCATAGACCCAATCAAGATCCCATGGTTTTATCATCCAAAGAATATCATAAGTTTTAGTCTTACCAACACTAACAATTGTTTATCGTAGTGTCCAAGGAATTAGATTAGCAGGCATGGGCTGACTCCTCTTAAGGATCCCAAGTAAACTGAAGTTGATAGGTGTGATTTTAATTTTATCATAGTTTAGGGTTTAAATCTGTTAGAATACCCAATATTTAATTTAGTTTCGAATTTATGACTTCATTTAGAAGTCACCAAGTTATTTGACTTAGATTTGGGGTTATGGCTTATGGCTTTTATCAAAAGTAGCTCCTGTAGCGAGTCTTACAACTTTGTTTAGAAGTAGCACAGATAACAGATCTTAAGGCTTTTATTAAAGTGGACCAAGTAGTGGGTCTCACAGCTTCCCTTCAAAGTTTTCCGTGTAGCAGGTTTATGATTAGGTTGCTTTTACCTAGAGATTTTCCCTAAATTCGGACTTATAACTTACATTAGAAGTTGTCGGTTGAACTTTAGGTTAGCAGGTTTTTAGCTTAGCGGGTTTTTAGCAACAAGCACTTAGCTTTGCACCCTTCATTGCTTTGACACCAGCACTAGTGTTTTACCTACAGTGCTTTACTTTCCTACTTTAATAGCTTATCTTTTGCTTTAGTACCGTTGTTTTAGCCTTACTACTTTGTTTCCAACACTTTGTTTTCCCTACAATTTTAATTTTCTTTCAACACTAATTTTACCTATAGTATTAGCTTTACCTACTTGTTTGTTAAGTACATTTTTGTTTTAGTACCTCTTTGTTTTAGTACATACTTGTTTTAATACATGTTCTATTCATTCTAGTACAAGTTTTGTTTACCCTACGCTAACTTTGTCTATTTGTTTGCATGTATTTGTGACTAATAGTTGCAGGCGCTGAAGCTCGCAGCTGTAAGGTTTACCAAGAGCTGGAGCTTGCCAAGAGCAGATGGGGTTTAGGTAAGAATTTTCGGAGCTTCCTTTCAGTTTTATGATTATTTTTTGTTTTACGCGTTTAGATTTTAGTTTGTGTGTATTGTACTTAGGTTTGAATAATGTGAACATTGTTCTTTCTATGTTTTCTAATTTCAATCAAAAATGAAAAAATTACCAGAGTGCTTCTTCCCTCAGTGTTTTCTACTTGCATTTTTAAATTTATTTGTTAATTTAGTTTAATTTAGAGTTTAAATTTTAAATTAAAATTAAACTCTCGGCCCACTAATTTATTTTAAATGTATTTAATCATTTTTTATTTTTTAATTAAATTGTTTAGTTTAATTAAATTATAGTTTTAATTTTAAATTAATTAAAGTTTTAATTAGGCTTTAAACTAATTAATTGTTTAATTAATATTTAATTGATTAATTAAATTTCTCTGGCTCAATATAATTAGTTCAATTAAGTTGTGAATTTTAAATTTTGTTTTTAAATTATTTAGTTATTAATCAAATTGAGTTAATCAAATATTTAATTGGTTATAAATTTAATTTTAATTTTGATTGAATTAATTAATTAATCAATTAGTTAAATTTTATTTTGAATTGATTAGTTACTTAGTTAATTAATTAGTTAAATTAGAAATTAATTAGTTTAAAGATATTTAATATTAAATAAAGCTCGCAAATCGTTCCCTAAGATTTTAAGAAATTCTGACAACCCCCGACATCCCCTCTCAACGTGAGAGGTGGTTGGGCTTTCAGGTTCGCTCGGCCGGATCAAGTCGACAGCTAGGGCTACAGGGAGCGAATCGACCCTAGCATCGGTCTTGGAGTCCTCTAATTCGGTGATCGTAGTATTTCAGTGTCTTCTTGGGACTTCGGCAACCTTCTGGTGCCCCTCACTGTGGATAAATTATTCTGTGTGAAGGTCGGACGCAGCTCTACGTCCGGAGGCGAATCAAATGCAACCACGTCAGTGGTACCGAGCCTTTGTACACAGCGAAGGGGTGACATGGCGCATTCTAGTTGGCCTCTGGACGGAATTCGACATCCGCACATAATAATTTTTCCTCCCTGTTAAGGGAAGGTTTGAGAGGGCACTTGCCCTTTTAATCCGCTCAGCCAGATCAATAATCTACGACCAAGAGTTTCAAGGGACATATCAACCTCAGAATCATCTTCAAATCTTCCATTCGCAATTTCTACGCCATCTTTCCATAGTATTATTAATATTATTATTATTATCATTAATTATAATAATAATTATTATAATTTTTATTTTATTAATAATAATAATTAATTATATAGTAAAGCCCTCTTCTTTTTCCTTTACCGTTTCAAATCAAGAAACAAGCAAAAAGCTCGAGCGTGTGGAATGGATCAGACGAACGAAGACCAGAGAGGGAGTCTGGTGGCTTGATTGTGTATAGGGCAGGTGGGATCAAGGCCAAACAGCCTAATGCCTTTCGCGTAAAGAAACTACAGGTAGGGATCAACAGTCTTCGGAATCAAATTGGAGGCATGTTGTTCGAGATTCTTCTGATATGGTTGGATCGAAGGCTTTAGCTGCAACCAGGAGGGATCGTTTACAAAGGAGGCGGACTATACGCAGTCTATTTATGACTCTCATTGAGGCGGATTCATGGGTATCGTGAAGCTCGGTAGCATGAGTTGGACGAAAAGGTTGCCAAAGACGGACGACTCGCGGTTCATGCGAGTTCCGCGATTGGATGCGGGGTAGCGACTTGATTGCAACTAGGTAGAGAGAGGCAGCGAGGTTGGAAGGAACGATCGTTCGATCCGGTTAAAATAGTGCAGACAATTGTAGAAGGTCGAAAGCTGCTTGCGTAAGTCCCTCTCGTTCATTCCCCTTTTTTATTTGAGATCGAGCAGTTATTTTGGACTGGAAGTGGAAACGTGTAGTCGTGTCATTTAGCATTGTGGATTGCTTACATAAATTCATGTTAATTGCAGTAATACATTAAATTGCTCATATAAATTGCTATTCCTATGAAAAGTGAACAACCGCGGAATATAAACTTTAGTTTGAATTGAACAATTCGGCTTCTTTTTTTTCACATTCTATCGTCGCTTGAAGCGTGTAGTTACTCACATAAATAAATAATTGTAATATATATAATTGTTGCAGTCATAGAAAATATTGATAGCTGCTATTCTTGGACCAATGAACTTTCATTGCAACCAATGAACTTCCATTGCTCAATGTTGCGAATATTTATGTTACAATTGTTGCATGGCTCCACTAGGAATTGGCGGTACTCGTATTAATTATCAAATGAATCCTGTGAATAAATTGTAATATCCAATCTTCCTCTTTTTTTTATAACATTTTTTTTCAAACAAATGTTAGGTAGGGATTATGTATTAAAATTAAGTGGTCAAAACATTTTCTCAATAATGTCAACCTACCACCCATTTTGCCTCTACTTTTTTTCCTCAAAAAGTAATTGTTTAATAGTCTACTAATGCTTATAAATATGAGCTGAAATGCTTTGTAATTCTTAATTTTGGAATGAAATAATTTTGTAGAGAAATGCTCTTAATTTACTTAGTGCTCGGTGGCTTCAAGTATATGTCTTTTCTTTACTGTGATTAGATGGTTATCTTTATTATTTTTATATTATTCATTATTCATCTTTAACACTTATTCTAAACTCTTCCCAACTCTTGCATCCTTTTAAACCAATAAACCATCAACCAAAACTCAAAACTTATTCTAAACATGTCCCCATAGTCATCAGCCCAACTAGGACATACTTGGACCAAGTCTTATTACATACACTTCGACATCCTCTTAAATTCAATCAATCTCTACAATTAGTTCCATATCATAAGTTCACAGTCTAAGCTAACATTCCACCATCAATTACAGCCATTTATACCACATAAAAGTTATTATCTAAAGTAATATTCCAAATCAGCCAAAACTAGACTAGTTTTAGCATTCCTACTAATATATCCTTCTAAACCCTCATCATTCTACCGTAAACTCAAAAAAGCCTCTCTAAATATCAAATTAAAGATCCATAACAATTTCTATATATTAATCTCACGAAAAATACTACCCACCACTATCACCTTCTCTGCTAATAAAAATATTGAAGAACTCCTTACAATTAAAATTTCTCTTATGATCTTCTAAAAGGTAATTTCTCTATGATCTTTTCTCACCCATTAGCACAATATCCTCAATAGGCCTGGGCAATAATTGGATGTATTTGAAGAAATTGATCGGGAATGCCCAAATGATTCAGTCAAGTACCATAAGATAGTTGGAAATGCTTAAGTGTCCATTTTTTTCCTTGAACTTAAAAAGAATCACAATGCAATAAAAGGATAAATTATTGGGATTAAAAACTTGCAATCTATACCAGAAGCCTTCTCTAAAGTTCACAGAGAAGAAAGTTGCAAGAAATATTTGATGAGACATTAAGAGCACCATGTTTCAATAATTCCAGAGGGATCGGCCCTTGTTAAAAAAGGTAAAACTTTTTCTAACGATGATCACACTCAAAAAACTAGGTCTTTATGTGATCTATGCCGCAAAGCAGAACATAAAGCAAAATTGTCTGAACCTTCATGGAAAGCCTGTTGACTGGAAACCTAGTAAGAAATTTCAAACAAAGAAGATCGTAGTTTCTGTCACCAATGATGATCAACCAAAACTGCTATCTAATCATTTCAATGAAGAAGAGTTAAACATGTTATAAAAGATATTTAGTCAACACTACCTAACCTCTATAGTGCCTAAAATTGGCACAAGCTCCATTGCTCAAATAGCCACTCATTCACCTGAGCATCCTCATCTTTGCAACATTAATTTTATGCTTCACTTTTAATAGCTAACACTTTGCATCATAAAGCATTGCAGGTCTCACCACCATCTTATAGAATTTTTCCTTAAGTTTGATGGGTAATTTTCTATCACACAACAAGCCCGATGCATTCCTCCACTTAAACCATCCAACTAGAATTCTACTAATAATATCATCATCTATTTCATCATCACTTTGAACAATAGACCCAAGATATATAAAACGTGTACTCTTTTTAATGACTTGATTACCCAAAGCCACAATCCCCCATTAGATCTATTACTACCAAAATTACAATCCATGTACGTTAAATCTACTCAAACGAAAACCTTTATACTCTAAAGTTGACCTCCAAAATTCAAGTTTCCCTTCAACTCCCTCCCTAGTCTTATCAACAAGATTAATATCATCAACAAAAAAACATACAACAAGTTACATCCTCTTGCAAATGTCTGGTAAGAACATTCATAACTAAAGCACAAAGAAATGGGCTTAAAGTTGATCATTGATGTAATCCTACTGAAATATAAAAATACTTGGTCAAATAACCTTTTGTTTGAACACAAGTAACAGATCCTACATACATATCCTTAATAACTTGAATATAAGCATTATTAACTCCTTTCTTTTCTAGAACTCCCATAATACTTCTTTTGGAACTCTATCATATGTTTTCTCTAAATCAATAAATATCATATGTACATCCTCCTTATCCTCTCTACACTTCTCCATCAAACCTCTCAATAAATGAATAGCTTCTATAATAGACCTATCCGACACGAATACAAATTGATTTTGAGAAACATTAGAATCAATTTGTAACCTATGTTCAATTACTCTCTCGTATAGTCTTAATGTATGACGCATTAACTTCATTTCTCTATAATTCGTACACTCTTGTGCATCACTTTTATTCTTAAAAATAGGAACCAATACACCACTCATTTGGCATCTTTTTAGTCTTCAAAAAAATATTAAAAAGTTTAGCAAGCCAAGATAAGTCATCGGTATAGAATACATATATGACATAAACTAGCATTCACCTCAAATCACTGCTCTTAGCTACAAATTCCACTATCAATCAATTTCATAAGTAGGAAATTTCATAAGTATCCTACGAAAATAATTCCATCATATATATCCAATGGTTTGAGCATCAAAAAATTGAACCATAACAAAATTATTGCACTTAAATAAAATATTTTGTAAACTTAAAATAAATAGTAAATAATAATAAAATAAATTAATGCTACGATTGAATGGAAGATACAAAAATGCGTTCAGAAGAAATGATAGAAATAAGTGATAAGACTATATTTTGAGGAACACAAAAAAAAACTAAAAATTACCTGTAAATAAGGGTAGATATTTTGGATTATAGAAGTAAAAGATCAAAAAAAAAAATATGCATGCAAAAAAATGAGAACTCAATCAAATTGATTCAATAAGGAATAAATGAATATTGAAAATATGATTAGAAAAGAGTATATCATACCAGCTTTAACATTGAATACAGCACATTCTGTTGGCCTCTCAGGGTTTAAAATGTGGATTGGTACCCAAAATGGAAGAGTCGCATTAGAGCTATAGAATACCAAAAAACACAATGTCAGTTGCAACAAATAAATGCCTATAATGATCAGCATGTTTTGTGAGTACATAATATAGGTCACAACTGTATAAAAACCTCACAAACAAGTAAATAAATTAGCAGATCATTGAGTAAACAACATTTTCTTACTTCTCCTTATTTAGCATAAAAGGGATAATCATGGAGAAATGATGGGCATGCTTTGTAAGTAAATATAATCTTCTTCAGAATGGAAAGGAGACCTCTCAAATGTGATGATAAATTAGAAGATCATTAAGTAAACATTTTCTTACTTCTCTTTTGTTTATCCTAAAAGAGTAACTATGAAAAAAATTATATATAGAGGTGCTATTAAGTATTAACCAAGCAAAAAAGTTGCCACATGAAACATATGCATATAAACAGCACTCTCCTCAAATATCACACAGATATAAGCCCAAAAAGAAGCAAACTTGACCAAGGGATCGAACAAGAAATGATAAAATCAATGGAGTGCCTCACTTTCATCCCAGAGAGGAACTGAATTGAAGGTAAATAGAATGCCAGTTCCTAACCTTTATACGAGGTCCCAAATTATCAACTTTGACAAAGGATAAAATACTATTGAGAAGCAATTCTTGTTGTACTTCCAATCTCATTGCCCCGTTCATTAAAATTAGTCAATGATTAAACATATAAAGAATTTAGACAATATCGTAGTAAAAGAACCTTTTGTTCTTGATTAGCCTAATTATTTCTTTCATAAAATAATTTCCTAGGTCTTCCATATGTGTGACCCATAACTCTTCCTCAAATAAACATTTAAGAATAGCAGAGCAACTAGAAGAATTAATACCATAGCAAAATGCGTGAACTATAAATAGCTTCCACATAATTCAAGCCTATCGAGAGAATATGACAGCATCTTTGAAGCATTGTAAATACACCACCTAAGAATTTTTAATTGGCTATTTTGAAATTGCTCTCGGCTATTTATAATCGATTATCTCATATCTCAGTCAAGACCTCGACAAGAATTCTCAAACATCTAATCAACCCTACTCTCAGGGTAGACTAGCTTCGAAGATCACTAAGGTGAAACAAGCTAGCAATTGAGAAAGACACTCGTGGATGTTACATATTCTTCATTATGATGCTTTTACCTCAATAAAATTTTGAAGAATAAAAATCATATCCACTTCAATACAAAAGAAACTCTCATTATTTTAGCATTGTAATTTGATTAAAATAGCATTTTGCTATTCAAAATGTCTTTGATGTGGGATTCTCTTTATCTCTGCCTGTGAAAGTGTGTACAAGCGGTGGGAGAGCAAGAAATTTTATTCACGGGGCGAGGGCCTAAATTAAGATAATTTTGTTTGTCGTCTCATTTGGAAGGTTACAATAAATATCTGCCATGGGCGGTCTTCGTTTGGGGGAGAGAAGAGCGAAATAAAAAATAGAAGCCGTGCTCGAAGTCGGGAGTCGCGAGTCACGAGAGAGAAGCAAAGGAGAAACAAACCATTGATGCTTTTCATGTGTCCAGAAAAAGATTTTTATGGTTTCATTGGATTAGTAAATAAATTTAAAATGAAGAATTACAAAAATTAGTGCAGGTTTCCTCGTTGGCAAACTTGTTGCTCTCCTAAACCACTAAAACAATCAGCTTTTCATCATTTTGTCCACAATGGAAAGTCATTCCTCCCTCTCTCTTTCAATATTTTACCCCATTAATCTTTCTCTCTCTATAGCTGAAGCATTGTATGGTCTGGGTAGAAGGTGGATTGAAGATTTGAAATGGAAAAAGTCTGTAATAAATAAAATGAAAGCTGGCAAGGGGTTGTACCATAATGGATGCTTAAATTACACATTTCTATCAAAAACAAAATTCCAAGAATTTATAATTTATACTAATTTAAATTTCAAAAAAAAATTATACTTTGAAGAGCTTTCATAAAAAATGTAACAAGTTCCTTGTGGTCGTTATAAATAATTATTATGATAATACATATTTATTAATACATTTCTCATTAAGCTCAATAATAAATAACATAATTTAATAGAAAACTCAGAATAATTACTATTGCAGTTTCTTAGATTTGCAAGACCAACTGTCTTGGCATAATTAGCTAATAATTTAATTTTCAAAGAAGATTTATATCAAAACCTTGACATGATAAGATATTTTAAGCCCATAGTTCTGAAAGTCAAAAAACTGCATGTGTGCACATCTTCTCAAATTCCTTCATATAATTCATTAGCATATTGTGGGTATAGCCATGGGCCCAATTCCTAGAAGCATTGATGTGAAACGTAAATGCCATGTACTTGCCTAGGTGGCAAGATTAATTAAATCCCAAATCAATAAAGTAGAAATTTTCATTTATCAATCATCATCCTTTCCAAGAGGAAGGGGAGGGCTTAAATAGCCAAATACATGAGGGAAAATAAAAAGACATAATTGCCCCTAAGGCAAACATAAAACAAAGCCCTCAAGTGAGGGTAAAAATGGAAAAGTACAAATAACAAATAAAATACATGAAAATAAATAGACACGATCATAGCCGTTGATCTTCGATGTCCTCATCAAGCATCCTCTCCAAAATGCAAGAGTAAGGTTGCATACGTCAAACCTGCCCCGGCCCTCAAATATGGGGAGCTCACGGACTTTGCAGGCCCTTCTTTTTCTAATTGTCTCTCAACTCAATAGAATGTATTTACTTATTGATCTTTGTTGTTCAACATGATCACATAATTCTTCCTGTGAGCTATTTTCAAATTTATTTTTGGCAAAAAAACCTTGGCTAGCAACAAACTCCAACTCAATCCAAACAAAAAAAGTAGTTTGGGGGTTTATAGAGAGAGTGCGATAGATTATCCCCACTGACACAAATATATGACTAGGGTAGCAATTGGGGTGTAAGGAGACGCATGAATTTCTCATTTGAATGATTTGGCTCTTAAAGTAGATAACTTTTAACAATCTTTCGGTGACAAACATTTCATAAGATAGATACCAAGACAATATTAAGGGACTCTAGCAAGTGGAGGGACCTAAGTGAAGGAATTCTAAAAATTCACCTCTTTTAATTCAAATAACAGATTTATAAATCTCTTGCTGTTATAAGCTAAGAGATTTGTAATTTGATAAATTTTAACAAGAATAACAATTTATAAAGCAGTTCTAAAAAGTAAATACAAAATAAATGCTTAGCACCGTCTCATTGAATTTAGTTTCAACAGTTCTAAGGGCTAGAATTGCTTCTTGACAAAAATAATTAAGCTCAACGATAAAATGTGTGCATTTATCTATCCATACAGCTATGCATTCATGATCATGAGTGTATACCTCCAAGATAAAGAAGGTGAATATATGTAACTACGGTTTTATAGTCAAAACAAGGTGGTGAATTCATTATCTGCATATGATATGAAAGAAGCCAAGATAATTTCAAAAGATACTGACTTGCAAAATTATAGCAACAAAGTTCAAGAGCTAGCTAAAGATCAAACTATCCCATAATGATACAATGGGAAAACACATAGTCATGCTGAATATTATCTCACAAACTAAGCATATCTTATCACTCAAATGATGCAATTTCAACCTAAAAAATAAAATCATAATCTTATGGGAACACTAAAAGATGAAATGCCTCCCTTAATGGGAAAATATAAAGAAACAACAACAACAACATCAAGCCTTTGTCCCACTACGTGGGATCCTTTTTCGCCATTGTATCCTGTTAAAAGCTAAATTCTCATTTAAATCTAATAAAGAAAGATCATTTCTAATATTTTCTAACCAAGTCTTTTTATGTATACCTCTACCTTTCTTAACATAAGACAAATCTAAAACCTCAACTTTCCAAATCAGGTCATCGGAAGGCCTCCGTTTAATTTGACCAAACCATCTAAGGCGACTCTCTCTAATCTTATCTTCCACTTGAGCTACTCTAACCTTTGCCTCCCTTAATGGGGAAAAAAAAGCAATAAGCAACATTTGGACATGCATGAGCTAAACTTGAAATCAATAAATTAAATATTGATTGTACTCACAAAATGATTCACAAGATGTCCAATCTGCCCTGCCCAAGATATAAAGAACACACTGAATATGACTTACAAAGCATCAATGTAACCTAGAGTAAAACATCATTGTTGATATGTCTGAATAAATAGATTTCATCACATCGAGATGGTCATCATCTTGGACTAAATTAAGAGGAACAGAGTAAATATAATAATGAACAAACAATGGTTCCTAGTTATTTATACACTAATGAGGAGCTTAAAGCAAGCATATTATTTTATGATTCCAAAAACAATTCAGCATTTAAAAATAATGTTTCGAACTACTGCATCATAGCAAGCTGCAATTGGTGGCGTGGTTATTAACAACTGGGAAAGAGAACCTGCTCCCTCTCATTGCATGAACATAGTTAACATCGGTATAGAGAAGAAAGAAAAAGTACATTAAGGAACTCTAGAACTCTACAAGCTAACTCAATATTCTGGGCATAATATGAGAAGTAAATCATCTTGCGGATAAAAACCTAGGGATTCTTGCACATGTCTCGGACCCACAAGCATATCTTTCTATGACTCCAAAAACAAATCAACATTATAAAAATAATGTTTCCAACTATTAAATCATAGCAAGCCACAATTAATAACAGGAAAAGGTAACTTACTCCCTCTGCCTCTCCTTGCATAAACATAGTTCCCATCTTTATAACATCAGTATAAAAAATAAGGAGAAATCATATACATATTAACGAAGGCAATGTAGAACTCTGCAAGCTAACTGAGTATTCTGGCCATAAAAATGCAAAATAATTCTTTCAGAAAAAAAAACCTAGGGATTCTTGCACATGTCTCCGACGCACAAGCAATAGCATTCAGCTTGTCACACCAAGCAACCGCACTGCCACAAGAGAAACATAAATTTTCAATCAGTAAGGACTTCTCAGATACCATTGATTAGCACAAATCAGCTGCGTTTTCAATAACGAAACTAAACTAAGAGCAAACAAGTAAAATACAGGCATAATAAAAACGCCTAAAGTCCTGCCTTAATATATAGACATAATTCTCAACTTCAAGCTACACACCCAACTCCGTCATTCTTCATTTTATTCACTTCGCAGAAATCACAATCGGAACACCTTCAGTTTCTACGATTTCTTTTAGGACGGAATAATCACACAAAACCAACAAACCCTAACAACCACACAACTCCGAAATTTGCTAATTCTACACACGATCAGAAGAGGAAGCAAAGAATAAGCAAACCTGAAGTTGCGGCAGAGCTCGGGAACTCGCATCTTGTGTCGAAGATTGGAGGGCGGCTGCTTGAGCCGAATACGAAAAACGGTAGCCGGGGACGCCGTAGGCCCATCCCCTACATCCATCGGCCGATCACCCTCCTCCGCTACCTTCTTATCGGCCTCCATCTCTACACCTCCGTCACCGACTTCCACCTCTCCCACCGCCACCGCCGCCGCCGCCGCCGCCACTGTTCTGTCGAGAGCTTTTAGTTCTAGTGCGCCTCCAGCATCCGCAGCTCCCTGGTCCACTTCGGCAGAAGTGGAGGTAGGGGTATTCATATGGAAAGGGCGGTGATGGGATCCTTTAGATCATTTATAGCGATTGGTGGAAGAAAATTTGCAATCGATGGAGACAGGAATCCTGGTTGGAGCGGACTTTGATGATGTGTGGGGCTGGGCCTTGTTGCTGATGTCTATGAGAGAGAGAGCGTGTACTTAAGGATTAGGGTTGTGGAAGTGGAGGATTAGGTGGTAAGTGGATCCGCTTGAGGACAAAAACCGAGGACGGAAAGGCGGGCAACAAAGGCCGGGTGATTCCAGGTGACTTGGATTTCTTTATTGCTCGTCGCTGTCAACGAGTAAGAATGAGGACGAGGAATTTTGAAGGCTGGAGCTGTCGTTTTTTGCGCGGTGGGCGCCGATGCTTCAGCTTCGAGCAGTACTGCGGCCTTTGATGCCAATGTTCGGCCAGGAACTTTTATTTTTTATTTTATTTTTTATTTTTGGAAAGTCAGGGCGGAGCCTAATTTAAAAAAGAATAAAAAAACCCCAAAACAAAACACCTAAAAAAAAGCAAGTAAAGGGGAAAAACAAATTGAACTCATGTGATCCAAAAATTCAACATAAACAATATTCATAGCTCATCAAAAGTCTGGGAGAGAATCATAGTGATCACGGAATTAATCAAAAGACCCAAGCTATCTTATGGCCATCCATTAGAAGATAACGATTGGCGCAAGGACCTCCAATGAAGCTCGAAAGCATTTGTTGAATAAATCAATATAACAAAGAACCTTGTTGTCAAAGAAACTCTCTAGGAAAAAGCAACAAATATGTTAGCATTAGTCATCATTGTCCAAAAAAGAGATGCAGAGAAGCAAAATCATGGATCAATCAAGAATGGAGACATATGTATCTTTAAGCTCATCAAAATTCTTCCACTTCATCACCTTTAATCTAATAGCACTTTAAACAATCAAACAAAGAGTAGGACTAAGTCCAATCCCAATGAACCTACGATTGTTGCATTATTTCCAGATAAATTAAACTAAGTAGCAAATAGAAAAATAGCATAAGAGCTTTTCCTTACTATTAAAGTCCTACTGCTTCTCAAAAAATTTTAAAAGTTTTATTAAGGTAGGCCTGAATAAAAAGCATCTCAAAATAGGCAAGAGCTCAACAATGACCAAATACGAAAAATTTGCTTTAAAAAAAGTGTTTGTGAGTTTCCGATTAGAGAGGCAGAAAATAGAATATGGGAAAATGTTAATATTCCTTTTAATAAGCAAATCAGTTTTTTTTTTTTTAATTTCTCATTGATTGCCTCAAAGCTTAAGAAGATAACACAATTGAGTGACGCTTGTGTCAAATTAAGCTATGCCATGAAACAGAAATAAGTGAGACTAGTAAAATTTCGAGAATTGGCGATGGGATGGTTGCATAGAGCCCAGCCATGACACAGACGTCTGCTCTATAATAGGTATAGACATAATTTCTTATTGGAGAAAAAGAGAAATAGAGCCAGGTAACACCCAAGCAGCATTTTGTATAAAGTATTTAAGCGGGCTAAGTGAAGATCTTATGGGCAAACAATTCTTAAATAGCTTTTCCGTAACACCAAGGGTCCCAGTACATAAAAAACATTGCTATTAGAGGAAATACAAAAGGCAATTTTATCCCTAATCTTAAAAGCAACCGAACAGAGATGTTTCCAGAGCTTAGAATCATGAAGATGAGGATGCTTCCATGGTGAAATGTATTTTCCTCTAAGCCACATAGCTAAACCATAATCATTGGACAACATATGCCATAACAGGGAGCAGTATAAGCAAAAATAAAGATAGTGAATAGCAGGCAACCCGAGACCCCCCACAGATTTAGGAGAGCAAACCATGCTCCAAGCGATCATGTGCAACTTCCTTTCCTTAATGTTTCCAAACAATAAAAACATAGAGCATAACCTGACAATATCTTTACGAATGCACTTAGGTAAATATAGAGCCTCTAATCCAGGAGGCCAAAGTATTGGAAATCGTGAATTTAATGAACTTCACCCTACCTACAAAAAGACAAGAATTTAACTTTACAACCATCAAGTAGAGTAGTAATCTTACTCAATAGTGGACGGAAGTAATTAGTTTTTAAACTCTTAGGGGAAATAGGAAGGCCCATGTAAGTGCGAAAAGAAGCAGTGTTCGAAATCCCCAGGAGAGTCCAAATGTCATAATGGTTTTGAGAATTAGGGGAAAAAAAGGATGGCGCTTTTTAGAGGGTTAATCAGCAAAGCCGGGGCATTAACAAATATATCCAATTTGAACTTTAGATCCCCCACATTATCATATGAGTTGTCACCAAACACAAGGAGATCATCTACATAAAGGAGGTGGTTAAAATTATTGTCATTTAAATTAATGTCATTGAAGTATGATTGATGAGGATCCATGAGGCAGCACGAAAGAGGGGAAAGTACCCAAAGAAGATTTATAAAATCCCTCCATAGAGTAATTAAGACAGATGGAGAAATGAATATTATTGATGCAGCCCTTAATCTACCTCAAGAATATCTCATGAAATTATTTTTGGCTCGTCCTATTGATAAGAATCCCTCGAAATTGAATCAAAAGCCTTAAGGATGTCAAGCTTAGCATAAAAGAGATTATGAGATCACTTAAATTCTCTCAAAATTTCATTAGAAAAGATAATGTTATTAGCAGAACGTCTCTTGTGAATAAAACCAGCCTGAATATCATGTATGATAGTAGGTAAAACCTTCTTCAATCTATTGGCCAGAAGCTTTGCAATAATTTTATAAAAAATATTGCAAATGGAAATAAGTCTATAATAAAAAAATGTTGGAGGCTTGAGATGATTTAGGAATTAGAGTGATGGAAGTAGCTTTGACCCCCCTAAGAAAGTGAGCATAGGTAAAAAAAAAAGTTCTTCATATCATTGCAAGCTTTAAGACCAATAATATCCCAAGAAATTTTATAGAATTCTGCAGTGAAACCATCAAGTCCGGGAGAAGAGGAGGAAGGTAAAGCAAAAAAACAACCTCTTTGATCTCATTATTGGTAATAGGAGAAACCAGAAAATAAGCTTAGGCTTGAGAAACCACATTTCCAGAAGGAATAACATAATCTACAATTGGAGGAGGAGTACGAGTATTGAACAGGTTACTAAAGTGAAGCACAACGGCCTTCGCAATATCTTTATGAGAGGTGAAAGAACTAAGAGGAATAGAAATCTCCTTCAAAACATTAAGATTTTTTCGAGCTTTGATCCTAGCATAAAGGAAGCCAAGATCCTCCTCCCCTTTAGTAATCCAATTGACTTTAGCACTTTGATGTAACCAGGAAGCCCAAGAAGATCGGGGGAGAAGAGAGTGTGTCACATATCTGTTTAAGAATGGTGTTGAGAGTTATGTCTAAAGGATTTCTCTCGAGATCTAGTGTAACAGCAGTTTTGATCATATCGTCCAGGCCGATCATGGATCGTCCTGGGACGATCAGTGCAATTCTGTTCCAGTTTTCTATCCAGAAGTTACAGGAAAATTTCCTGTATGGATCGTCCAGGCCGATCTGGGATCGTCCTGGGACGATCAGTGTATGGCAAAAGTCAGAGAGCAAATCGTCCTGGAAATTAATTATCGTCCTGCAAAATCATCACAGGACGATATGGAATTTGTTCAGATCTTCCAGGACGATCGTGCGATCGGCCAGGCCGATCTGAGTATTTTAAAGCTGAAATCAGCTCATTTTGAAGAGAGAGAAAATCAAAATAAATATCTAATTTCAGCAGAGGAGAGAGAAGGTTGAGGGCAATATTGAAACAGTTGATTTTCGGGCGACGCCGGGCCGTTTTCGTCCGTCGTGACAGTTCAAGAAAGTGGTGTACGCAAGGTAAGGCACATTCCATCTTTCTTAATTTTCAGAACGGTGAAATTTGAACGACTTTTCTGTCCTGATTTCGTTTTTGTTAGCGAATTTCGTCCGTATTTTCCGACTGGTTCAGTTTTTACCGCGTAACTTTTGATATGTTTCTGAGGTGCCGAGTGTGCTCATTTTGATTATTTTCTGGAGATTTTTTACCGGGTAATTTTGATTCCGCAGTGTTTTCGTTCGACTGCAAATTTTGACGATGTCTAAAAATGTTGTGGCAGTAGAATAAAAGTCTTATATTATTGTTGTAAATGTTCTGTGGTAATTTGGTGAAACTCTGTTTCGGTGAATTTTTGTGTAAATTTCGTATACTACCGTTACGCTGCCAGATTTTCGTACGATTTCTGAATTTGTTCTGAATTGAATTAATTATCCGTATGCTATTGGGAGCCATAAGGGGAAGGTGCTGTAAGTACAAGGGAGCTATAAGGGGAAGTTCTGAGAAGTTCTGAGAAGTTCTGTGAAGTTCTGAAATTCTGTATATCTGTTCTGTTCTAGTGTTATGAGCACAATTGGGAGCTATAAGGGGAAGTTCTGGTGCTGTACGCACAAGGGAGCTATAAGGGGAAGTTCTGGTGCTGTATGCACAAGGGAGATATAAGAGGAAGTTCTGAAATCTGGAAGGAAGATCTGTTCTGAAATATTTGTTCTGATTTGATCTGTTCTGATTTGATATTTTCTGAGTTGATATGTTCTGACACGATTCTGATATGATTTGATTCTGATTTCCATACGATTCTGTCTGTTCTGATATGACTTTTGATATGATTTAATCTGATTTCTGTACGTTCTGTCAGTTCTGATGTGATGTATGTCTGTTCTGTTCTGATTTGATCCGATCTGTATGATTTTTGTTCTGATTTGTTCAGTACGATTCTGTTGATCTGATTTCTGTTCGGATTTCTGTCTGATGTGTTTGTTGTGGACTCATAGGATTTTGATTGGAGGTTTGTTGTCTTGCTGAGCTGTGTAGCTCATCCTTATTTTCTGCGTGATTTTCAGGTTATGGGAAAGGGAAGGAAGTCCAGGAGTAGAGTTCAGAGTCTAATCCAGTATAGTTATTTTTGTACTTTTGATTTTTGTACAGTCATGGCTTTTCTATTCTGCTTTTCTTTCTGTCTGAAAGCCATGACCTGTATTTGTACATGATTCTTTTGAGGAAGAAAAAGATAAATGATCTGTTCCGCTGCATTTGATGTTTATAGTAGCTCTATGTGTCTGTTTTTGTCTGTATGTTTGGAAGAAAGTTCTGAAACAAATTC